GAGACAAAATGCTGTGCTACATGGACCATTGGTCTTACTCAGCAGGGCATTGCAAATGTTCTTGAAATGTTCACGTACGCACTAGGAGAACAAAAACACCTAAAAAGAATGCTTTGTCAGTCTTCTTGACATTCAGCACAGTCAAAGGGATTTATATCTGTAACATCTTGGCAATTCCCTCCACCTCTCCAGAAATGAGATGTTTCTACAAAATGTTTTGAAATTACAAAACTGCATTTGGGTGGGAAGTCGCTCCATCCAAACTTTTTCCCCTATCAAGCTAAGTTTTAGCTCATTAAAACAATTATTTTTTTACTACAAAACCAATATATGTTCCCTCTATTTCCAATAAGAATATATTGAGAATGATAAAACATGCTAGCTTACTTGTGACTCACAAACCCAAATCCATCTCAAATACAACATGCATAATTATGTGTCTTCAGAAAATGGACTGAGATGCTCCTTAAAGTTCTACCTGATCTGTGTAGGAAATGAACTACAAAAATATGTTGCATTATGATTCATGGCCTCTGGCTTACAGTAGCAGGTAAAAGCTGTGCAACTCCTACCATTTACCTTGCTGTGGTATTTTCAGCCTTTGCTCAGTCTTGACTGGGTTGTTCTTTGCAGGAGATCTCAGGCAAGGGCTGTGGTACCTTCCCTTGACCTGCATGCTCACTTGTAGGGCTTGAACGGATTTACCTCTCTCCTCTATCTTCCATCAGCTGGTTTCCAACTATCTCAGATCTACTCCCTTCTGAACTAACAACCAGAGCAGAAAGAAACGGGCTATAGCACACTCTGCCTTAGCTGTGTCATCATGCTGATGTCTGCTGACATGAAACTTCTATGATTCATGCCAAGTATAATACTCAAGTGGTTTCTTTTCAAAACAGACTCAATAGGCAAATTTCTTCTGCCTGCATCTCTGGACACACATGACAAGGCTTAATACATCTGGCAGGAATCCTCCTTCCAGCAATATTCTTTACTATAAACATGGTTAGAAGAGCATCCACACAGGAACAGACGTTCAGCCTATCTGAGTGCAGCCTACAAAGAGAAGGGCATTTCTGAACTGAGCATCAAGATTACTGTTATTCTGTACAGATGTATTCCTGTTTCACTTTCATTCCTGTAGGTGGTTTCCTTAAAAATGCTGAATTGAGAAAGTTAGGTTACTTTATTACCAAAAAATGCCAATCACACTAAAAGCTCTCACATTATTAGCTTTCCTCTAGTTTTTAATTATTTGTTAAAATTCGTATTCTATACTAGTCTCAGATTCAGGTCCTCGTGTTAAGGTGAACACTACAACACTGTAACTTTACACTTCTCCTACAAATACTGTAACAGAGTGTCACAAGCAGAAGTGTGTTATGCAAAAACATTGTTTATTTTTCTAAGTAATCATTATGCATGTTTTTAACTGATTAAATCTACACTGAAAGGTTAAATCAATGTATGAGACTGTGTGTCTCGACACTTTATTATATCAAAAAAGTATTTGTTTTGTTTAACAGAAAAAAAATTAATGAACAACAGCTCCTACTCTCTCAGAAGCATATTTCCAGCTCACAGCACTGCAGCTTCAAAATGCTTTACAAGATCAGGTAGGTAATCTGCACATTAGCACAGAGACAGTGAAATAAAACAAAAAAAAAAAAAAAAGAAAAAGAAATCCACATGTTCAGTAGAAAATGAGGAATTTCACTTCAAATTGGAAAAAATATTTTCTATGAAGGCATGTGTTATTAGGCAATTATTAAGTGAGAAGATTCAGAAGAAATGCCGTGTTTACCCAGGATTATTTCTAGCAGATCATTTCCATCATTCTGAAGCAACTGGTTTGGTTTCTGTAGACACAGACACTGTCAGATGACCCACACCAATAGGTCATCTCCAAATTCCACTCAGTTTTAGGTAAATATTTATTGACAGTCATCCGGTTTAATGATTTCTAATCAGAGGATAATACCTTCAACCTGGATGGTGAATGTAGTGCCTCACTGTTGACATACGCCTTAGAGTGAGCAGCAAATAAAAGCATCAATTTTAGTTAAAAAAGGAACGTCCAACTATCTTGTCCCAGAATTTAAGAGTACAGGTTTAACAGGTACCAAATCATGTAAGAATAGATTTATTTTGGAAAAACAGAGATGGAAGGTAGGGTGGAATATTTCACAACAAGAGTGCAATAATCTCATAATAAACCCATCCAAGGTCTTCTCCACTATTCAGAATGAGTGGTAATTTATAAGCTCTGATGATTTTATGACAATTCAAGTATTCGGGACTAAAATCTCTCAAGAACCCTCTACAGCATTGTAGCATAGTCTTTTTACCTACTTGGCGAGTTTTGGCCTGAAAACTGTACCACAGCCACTTACCTTAGCCTAGTTCAAACCTGATCTGTCTCTTCCCCAAAACCCAAACACGATCAAGTGCAATACAAAACAGCTACTGAAAACTATGGGATATGTCAAAAATCATCACACTGTATATACTAAAAAAGGTGTAAGAATTGAACACTACCATTCATATAACCAGTGCTGAAGACTGAATTAGGAGAAAAGAAACATGGCAACATTCTTTCCAGACTGGCTTGCTGTTGATACATTGCATGGGGCATGTCTTAAAGAGCTGAGGATTTTTTTCCTCTAGGAAAAAATTACTTAATAACATCTACATATGTGGATTCAAACACTTCACAGAGTAACTTTGTTGGTAAACTACAGTGATGGCTCTAAGCCCACTACTAAATGCTGCATTTTGTCACCTAATCACAACCTATTCTTAGTGGAATTTGAGAAACTTTTCCTCCAAAGCCACCTGCCCACAGATCCCACCGCAGAACACAAAAGCAGAGCTGAGCAACAAGCTCTGCTTTCAGTGCCCCACTGCTCATGTAAGATCATCCTGGCAGCTGCAGCTTAGCAGGAATCCAGAACAGTATAGTGCACAATAGTCTGCACTTGATTCTCTACTTTTCCTCCTGGACACCATTTTGCAGTCAGATGCTATGGAAGCTGCTTCAGATTGCAGACCACTGCAGCTTGCATACTGCTTGTCCTCCCAGTCTTTGTGAATGTATCTACAAGAAGAGCTACTGATGGCAAAAGGTCCATCTTCATTTCAGAGGATTACACTGAATTTGCAGGGATTAGTTAATAGCTTTTTTGAGAGAAGGAGATGAGAAAGATCTCCTTCTTGGTATCAAACTCCGCAAATCTAAATTTCAAGACTGGATTCCCCTCTTCAGGGGAAGCACCAATACTGAAGTTAAAATGTTCTTTCATGATAAAATAAATTAAAAAAAAAAAAACCCAAACTCAAAGCAATGGAAACAGAAGTCTCTGTAAGCTAAAGTAAAGGCTAAACACCACCTTTATTAATTTAGACACAAATATATTGTTAAAAAAACCCAACAAAAACTAAACAGAGATGATGAAGATATCTTCATTTTTATAAACTGTAGGACACCTAAATAGCTACTGTAAAAACCAAACTGTAACGGCCCTGTAAAGCTGCATAAAAGCTAAAAGGAAGGTGACACTTCAGCAGAGGAATCTGTTCCATGACTGTTTTCTTTCAGAGATAGTTTTATTAAACTCAGAGCTTCACCAAGTCACCACTGGAATTTTTTATTCTACTTATGCATATCTATATGTACACACCAACTGAAATCCATTGCACTCATGGAACTGTATGTCCAATGACAGAACAACTGAAGACTATTCCACACACTCCATACTTGCCCTTGCACATGTACAGCCTGGCACGCAAAGAGCAAATACAAAACTTATACTCCAGATGTAGGCTTGTGTTTTTCACATTAAGAAAATAAATTCATGCAAAACATAAAAGTTAAAATATAAACACTTGACTGTTTCCTCACAGTCTGTTTCATCCTCACTGTTTGGCACCCATCCTCTACAGGCCAGAAGTTTCACAGATGGAGTTTCAAATGCCCAGCAGACAGAACAGAAGCTAGATTTTTCAAAGATGCTCAATGAACAAAGATCTGGCATCTTTTGATGTCAGTCTAACCCAATAATTTATTATGATTTCCAATGCAAACTATTCTTAAAAATATCTTCCCAATGCAAGTCAGAATACTTTGGAAAAGCTTTTAGAACTTAAGCACTTTTTAGAGCTTGTTTCCAGAATTAGATCCCATTGTTATCCAAGACATTTGGCAGGAGATTTGTATTCACTTAGCTGACAAATCATAAAATACAAACAATTCTTCAATCTCAACCTTATCAAACACTGATCAAACATCAGCAAGAGCCTTGCTTGTTGTGAAAGACACATTACTCCTGTTAGCGACATTCTTGTTCATCTTCCTCTGGGGAGAGGAGGAAGTTTTTGCAGAATAGGTTATAGTGAATCTTCAAGCTCTTTGCTCCTAGATTAGTCAAAACTAAAGACACACAAATTACAGGCCTTACCTTGCTCTGACTCCATTTGAAAAAATCTTGCTGCTTTCAACAGTATTTGGCAAATGAACAAGGGCAATAGCCTGTTTGTCTTCACTTATTTGGCTATTTGTGCATTTACTTGCACAAAAAAAAAGCAATTAAATTAATTCATTTCTATAATTTCATTTAGAAAAAAAATCACCATACTGGTTTCTTTAACTGTTATGTCATATCTTAGTCATATCTAAAGAAATGTCACTGCAGGAAAATTCCCATGACAAGCTTTTCACCAAATAAAAATTTTAGGTAGCAAATCCTACGAAGTCCTGCTAGACTTTATATCCTATTTCTGAAGGCACAGCACTAACAGTATAATACCAAAATAAGAATGCTGAACGCAAAGCAGATCATCAATTCAGAACACTGAAAAGACTAAACAACAGCACTTATCACTTCACATGCAACCACTCTAAAGAAAAACATCCAACAAATGACTTGCATCTCATTCACTGAGTTTATACTCAACATAGGAATGCCAACTGAGAAAAAACTTATTTTTTCTGAATTGTTTACCTCAAGAACTAGCCAAAGCTGGTCTCCATTTTTCACATCTTTCTTATAATACATGCCATAGAACTTGACTACATTGGGATGATCAGAGAGAGCTTTCAAAATGTTGTACTCAGCTTCAATTTCTTCATCAATATCCTGGAGTCACAAATGAGAAATACATAGTGGTTAATAAATAAATAATGATAGCCATTAAAAAAAACCTCCAACACATAGAATTTTCTGGCTATTCAAACATAGTTTGAAATAATGCAAAAAAAAAAATCAAACAGAACATGAATGTACCATTTGCAGGGCTACAAAGCTTGGTTCAGTTTACTCAGCAGAAAACAGCCATTTGGTTTCAGTTGGTCTTTACCAATTTCAACTAATGAACATACGGGGTATGACAGAGCAGCCCTCAGGAGAAAGGGGAAGGAGCATTTCAAGGCAAAGCCAGTGCGATCCACAAGCAGGTAGGTACAGAGTGGAGAGTTTTTGGGAGAGCATGTTCCCATGCCTTGGGAAGGCACAAGTCACTCTCCTAGTCTCAAGGGTATCCCCAGCTAGAGATGGTGCAGCTGGAGTTACCTCTCTACCCCTCTGTGCACAAACAAGTATGACTGCAGCCACGTCTTACTCATTTATCATCCTACCTTCTAGAATTATTTGGGAATTTTTTTCCTTTTCTGCTGTCATAGAAATGGGTGACATCCATGATCTCTGTGGCTTCTTGCACTGAGCTGTAGAGTTGTTGCTTTGACAGTCTTTCATTACAGACCTCAGGTTTCTTGCATAGCAAGCACAGAAATCCATTCGGAGGTGAGAGATGAGGACAAGGTTTGTCAACAGGGGCTGTGCAAGCCCTTTTAGGCCAAACGTGGATGCTAGCAATGGTGGGCACTGGATGACCCGGGTAATTCCTTCCACCCAGGCACCTGAAGAGCTCACTGAGGGATGTTACCACAACTGTATTTCAGTCATGCTGAGAAAATATTCAATCCATCCTGGCCACAGGTAGAGGCAGAATTACTGCAGTCATTTTCCCCCATTGTTTAGATCTCAAAAAAATGTTAACATACTTGTATTAAATTTTTTTAAATCTGGAAACAATTTGATATTTACATCCACCCAAAAAAAAAAGAAAAATCAGTTCTAGAGGAAGGCTACCTATGAACTCTGCTCTTCATATGAATGGATTTCACATCAGTGAAAAGCATCTACTCAGTGCCAAAAATCTGTCACACCAGTGCCATGAATGACACTCCTGATCTTGTTCACCACCAAAGGCAGCTGCCCCTAAGAAGATTTCGCTCACTTGTTTCATATAGAGGTCTCTCCAACGCTAAATCCAACTCAAGTTCCTCATATTAGCCTTTGGCTATTTCTTAACTGGTCTCAAAGCACTTTGCCTGTTACCAGCATCTTCATGAATTGGGCTGTTAAACTTTCATATTGAGATTACAAGAATAATTCTTCTCACAAGGAGGGGCTTTAGAGATTTTTTTTTTTATTGGGGTAGTCAAAAAACAGCAGAAATTTTCCACTTTCAAAAAAGGGAGGATCTCGCTGTAAGTTAATTTTCCCATAATCACAACACAGAATACAGCCAATAAAATAACAGAAGCAAGGAAGGAAGAACGAACCAAGGTATTGAAGGTGGCAGAGGAAGGAAAGGAAAAGAGTTGAAGAGGGAATGAAGAGAGAGAACCATCTGGTAAGAACAAAAGGAGAGATCATAAAGCAAAAAAACCCCACCAAAACCCCAAAGAGTCAAAAGCCAAAAAACTACATACAAAACATACAATAGCCCTGGCTGCCTTGGGGAAACTGGAAGAGAATTAGCTCACTGTCCTACTGTGATTTAATAGAGGTTTCTGTCTCCTGAGAGGTACTCAGATTTTATTAAATGTTTACTATTATGGGGAGAAATTAAAAGAGGGGGAATGAAATGAATAGAATATTCATTCTGTGCAAACTAGAAAGAAAAATCTTCCTCTGCATTTTATGAAGGAAGAGAACTTAAAACATTTGGTTGAACTGAACATATTTACCTACATAAAACACAGCCAAAGGCAGTACCTCCTTTAGAAATGGTAGATGGAATATTTTCCTGTGAACTTAGACATAGGATAATTTGGCTATGAGCCCTAAAGTACAATGGCATTTACTTATACCCCTGAGGACAACAGTAAGAGCATCCTCAGCTCCATCTTCATATATTCTCATTTCAACATCTTAACTTTCCCATTTTGGTTTCAAAAATCTGAGCTGTTATACAGCACAAAGCATCTGAGAGCTCTAAAGGATTAAGCATGAAATGCTTGTTTCAGCTTCACATCACGCATGATAATGAAGTTTCCCAGTTTAATTTGGAAATACCAGTTCAATCAAGTAATATGAAAGCACATTTCTTCTGCCCCTTTTTTCAGTCCACCCCTCAAATGGCACAATTCTGAAACCATCTTCAAATAAAAAAAATTGTAAAATTTAAAGAATAAAATACAGAAAGTACCTTTTTCTTCATTGCAATGGCTCCCTCTGCAGCCATTAATAATACTTTCAGTTTAAACAAAAAGAAGTGTATTCCTTTCACCCTATTTCTAATATTGGATTGCCACTTTAGCAGTTACTCCAGACCTCCTGTAAATAGGAGGGGGAAAAGAAGAATAGTATTCTTAGAATAAAAAAGAGAACACATTCAGTTAAAAAATTCCAGTCTTAGAGTCTGATGTTGACTGTGTTACTGACTTCCATTTTTTCATTAAAATAAGGAAACTGTTTTCATCAGTTACATCTCTTCCCTTCTTCAATTTCTTATGTTGCATCTCTATCCATTGTATTTCTTCTGAATTCTTCCACATCCTACTCCCTTGTCTCCTGCTTAATCTATTTCTGTATTTCTCTTTCCTCTAGCATCAGCTTTACTACCTCTTCTTTCTTCCTGTCATCATCCTTTATCCATTTCCTACAATCTCCAAAGTCTACACAATATTGAAAGATCCTTATCGCTTGGCTGCAAATCATGTTTACTCTGGGAGAGGTATGTGATACTGAATTCCTCCTATTGTTGCTCTGAAAGCATGCTGAAACGAAAAGCAGACAAACAAGAAACACAGCAAAAAATAATGCAAAATACTGTTTTCACAAACACATTTAATGGACTTATGGACCATGGGATCATAATTTGACACTGTGATATGCAGGAGTAGACAGAGCCCAGTGGCTGTGCAGCTCCAGACCTGCAGCATTTCACACGGCACGATGTGCTCTTCCCTTCCTGCCCAGAGGTCGTTCAACAGAAGCCTCACAACCCTCTACTGGGAGTGCAAAAGATGAGCTCAAAGGGGCCACTTGAAACAGCAACAGCTCCTAGCCCACATTTTGAGGGTTATTGTTCTCAAGAAAAATCCCAAGCCATATGCAGTACCACTGAAGTTAATGGTGTCTGCCTCTACAAACCAGACTAATGTTCTTCCTCACTCTTTAAGCATTAATCTGCCACCCAACAAATGTCAGTTATTGAGAACAAAAACATACTCTACAATATGATAATTCCACCTCCCAGTCACCTGGTGCTTTGCATGTAGGAGCCACTGCCTTTGTATTTTCCATTTGAAAAGACGGATCCCTCTGTGATACCTATGTATTTTGGCACATTCTAAAAACGCAAAACCTATAATAATAATAAAGTATGCTATTTTACTTTTTAAAGTATCACTCAGAGCATGTAACTCAGATAAAAGTGTGTTCTCAAAATAGATGCTTGAAGGTACATCTAAAGCACTTAAAAGTATATAACTTTCTTACTGACTAGCATGCAAAAAAAAGGAAAGGAAACAAAGGGAAAAACCAGAATAAGCTAGGTACTGAAAAGGAAAATAAGCATCTCACCTTCTGAAAGTAAGAGATAAACAAGGTGGAACCAAAAGTAAAAGTAACAAAGTTTAGGTATACTTCTGATTTCTACCATATGTAACCACTTCCAAGATGGCTTATGATACGAAATATGCAATGATAGCTAGAAAATATATTTTACTTACAAAGTTGAAGCAGTTTATTTCACTATCACTTCTAATGCAAATAATCTACCAAGATTAAAAGAAAAAAACGACTACATAAATTCTACCTACAATTAAATAAGCATGAACAAAGTAATTTAAGTAGCTTACATGAACAGGATCCAAAATTTTGACTGCTGCTTTGCTGCCATTTTTCTTATTTAACACCTTGAAAACTTTTCCATATGTTCCTTTGCCAATAGTCTCAATTATTTCCCAAGTATCTGAAGGATCGGGAAAGCTATCAAATATTATTGTTTTCCCAGTCAACGGAAGCATCTCAAATGATGGCTCCTAGGAAAAAGAGATTTCAATGTTCACTCAACAAATGGTTAAGAGCAACTGGTTTCCTACAAATGTAAAGAGAACTACACATTCCAATCTCAAACACTAGAAATGTTTTTGCATGTAGTGTGCATGCAGTGAAAGCATAATGAACAAGAAATGCTGCACTTAATACAGGTACGTGCAGTCAACACAATATCAAATGAAGGAAAATTCAAATAATAATTTTAAATTAATTTCAGGCTTGAGTGAAGTCACTAGAAGCTTCAATGAAACTATAATGTCACTCTGGGATTTTCTGAGGGGCACAAGAATAGGAGTCAAGTTCATAAATCCAAAAGAATTTGGCTTCATTACCAAGAATCAGGCAAGAAGGAAAAAAAAAAAACACAAAACAAAACAAGTTAAATAGTAGCATTAGATTCATTCAAACTTTTACTGTAAACGGTCAGTTTTACAATCTTACTCTTACCATTTAAATTTTTATATAGATCTCATAAGGCCAAGCAGATCAAAGTGGCAGATCTTTTCACAATATTACGATCTTCTGACAGTCAAGTATTCATAGTCCTGGAAAACGTGTTTACTGATATACATTAATTAACAACTGTTTTACATACTGTAAAGGAAACACCTTTTCCAAAGATGGAATTGTATCCATCACTGACCAGGTTACACCTATGCCCTGGTCAGAGAGGGATACAGTTCACTTACACATGCTTTCATAGTGACTAATTATCCACCAGATACAGTGGTAGAAATAAAGCACACACACACCCCCTTCCCCCTTCTCCAGACAAATGACAACAAAACATGAAATCTCCCTTAACACAAATTCAGGTTACGGTCAAAGTAAAGACAGAGGATCAAGATCACATTCAAAGAGTTGTGGTCAACAGCTCAACGTTCAAGTGGAGAGCAGTGATGAGTGGTGTTCTGCCGGGGTCAGTACTGGGACCAGTGTTGTTTAACATCTTTGTTGGTGACATGGACAGTGGGATTGAGTGCACCCTCAGCAAGTTTGCTGATGACACCAAGCTGTGTGGTGTGGTGGACACGCTGGAGGGAAAGGGATGTCATCCAAAGGGACCTTGACAGGCTGGAAAGGTGGGCCAATGCAAACCTCATGAAGTTCAAGAAGGCCAAGTGCAAGGTCCCGCACATGGGTCGGGCAATCCCAAGCACAAATACAGGCTGGGCAGAGAGTGGATTGAGAGCACCTCCGAGGAGAAAGACTTGGGGGTGTTGGTTGATGAGAAGCTGAACGTGAGCCGGCAGTGTGTGCTTGCAGCCCAGAAAGCCAACCATGTCCTGGGCTGCATCAAAAGAAGCATTAGCAGCAGATCTTGTGAGACCCCACCCGGAGTACTGTGTTCAGATGTGGGGCCCCCAACATAAAAAAGACATGGACCTATTGGAGAGAGTCCAGAGGAGAGCCACAAAATTAATCAGAGGGCTGGAGCACCTCCCATACGAGGACAGGCTAACAGAATTGGGGTTGTTCAGCCTGGAGAAGAGAAAGCTCCGAGGAGACTTAATAGGGGGTTACAGGAGAGATGGAGAGACGCTCTTTATCAGGGAGTGGAGTGAAAGGACAAGGGGTAACAGTTATAAGCTGAAAGAGGGTAGATTTAGACTAGATATTAGGAAGGAGTTTTTCACTGTGAGGGTGGTGAGACACTGGAACAGGTTGCCCAGAGAAGTTGTGGATGCCCCATCCCTGGAGGTGTTCCAGGCCAGGCTGGATGAGGCTTTGAGCAACCTGGGCTAGTGGAGGGTGTCCCTGCCCATGGCAGGGGGGTTGGAACTTGATGATCTTGAAGGTCCTTTCCAACCCTAACCATTCTGTGATTCTATAAGATCAGGACACGTGTAGCTGTAATATGAAAATCCTCAAGTTTCCACTCCAGATTTGAAATTTGCTTTTTCCTTCTGTCCAGCCCTCCTCTTGTGATTCAAACAGATGCAACTCAGCTGGGACATCGACTACAGTCTCTTCCTAAGGCTTTACCTTTCCACATCATGCCTAGTATTTATCCATGCCTTGGGAGCTTCACCACTTCCAGACAAAGCCATTTCTTCCCCAGAAAATGAACACAAAAGAGTTGGGGTTTTTTTAACTTTCTTTTTCTTTTGCCTATAAAACAGAGCTCAAATACAATAATTTTGTTTTTTTATAAATCACTTTATACGTATATAGAAATGCTTTGTAAGTAGCTCATAAGTGGCACTATACAAAACAACCAAATAGGGGATGATGAAGGAATTAGGATTCATAATCCCAATTTTTTACTTTGAGGGATTCAACAATGATGGAATTTCAAAATTTCTGTATCTGAGCTTTAGTTTTTAGAATTGAGGTTCACTATTTGTGTAAAGTTTTACTGGATAGTCAATTCAGAAACAGTGATTTTTGGGGAGAAAAAAAAAGTAGGGAGCTATCAATGGACGCTATCAATGGACGCCTTCATAAGAACCAAGATGTCCAAATCATATTAGAGCCTGTCTACATACAAATTATTTTCTAAAGAATATGTAGTTTTCCGTTGAAATCTAGGCCCTGCTATGTCCCATGTTCAAGAATACACAGTAAGAGCCTCTGACACAGGCAGTTTACAGTAGGGCATATGCAGAAGTTGAAGAAAGGAAGACTCACCTCCTCCTGTTCAAAGACGAGTACTTTGGAATGCAAAGACAAGCTTCACATATTTAGCTCATTCCAGAGCCAAGCAGGGAACTCTGACACCTTGAATCTCCAAATATACCTTTAACCAAAGGTCCACCTCTCTGTGCAGAGGTTTTACAGCAAGTAGAAAATTCTAAGAAAAAACGTACATCAAAACCTTCAGCTTCAGACAGCTTCCAGGCTTCATTACTTTCCTATACGTTAATTGCAGCTGAAATTCATTTACTCCTGTATCAACTGCTTATCTTTATGTGGAGACAGATACAAGAACTGTTAAAGGGCTGAGGAAACATGATCCTGCAGGTGCCACTAGAGAAGACTGCTGGAGACAGTGTCATATGCTTGTATTTTCCTCTGCAAATCACACCAGTTGCACATCATCTTGTCTTAAGAAAAGTCACCACGTACTTAACAACAATGCATTCAACAGCTGTCATACCTAGTTCAATAATTTGAGTGCTATTCCAGAAAGACTTATTCACCCTAATCCTTTGCCTTTTGATTTACAGCTTCAAAGCCATAACTCGAATAAGTTATATTGAATATCACATTTCCTCACTTCCACCCTGTTCAAGAACAAGCCCCTGCAGAAAAATTGTTTAGCTTCCACTTCTATTATTAAAAATATATTAAATAGAATTATTTCAAGTGTTCTGTTCTGGGTGATGAATAATGTTTTATTAAGTCTCAGTAAAGTTGAGAAAGCTGATAATGATTTAACCTCATATTTCATAAATAAATTGGACTGTCTCTGGAATATGTCTGGATGCCCAAACAACTGGGTGATTTATCATATCCCTCACCACTAAAAATTTACTGTAAAAAACACAACTTGATATAAACTTCTGAGCTAGGAATGTACCCCTGAACCTCTATAAAAACCCTTTAAAATACTTCTGGTGTGCTTAACATGACAGTTCACTCAACTCCTGCTCAGACTTTGGCTAACACTGCTCCTGCTAAGGCCTGATGTATGCTGGGACCAGCACCTCTAGGTCAAAGCGAGAGCACCACGGAGGCAGGACAGGTGGCCAGAAACAGTTAAAGGGCCATTATCACCATTATCACCTGCAGATCACTGTCTTCTGCAACCAGTAATCTTTTCTCTGGCAGTTTCCTCAGACTCTAGAAAATTGTGGAAATGGTATAGATTTCCAAGCTGGAAAGTATAAAGCATCAGCTTACCCAAAAAAAGCTTCTGAAGTGGATCCAACAGCAGCTGGACTGCTGAGACTTTCCTGCTTCTCACTGTGATGCTGGGAATGAAGTGCCATGACAGAGAAGGAAGGATAAGCACTCTCACACTCTCAGCCCTGGCTAGGTAGCTAAATCCTTTTTTTCCTCCTCCCCCCAAGTGCACAAAGTAAGAGCTATGGGTTCTAAGTTACGGTGTCAGTGATCTAGCTGTCATGCTTGTAAGAACAAATTGAATGAGAATTCTTATGAGCCAGCCCTATGTGATTTTTCGCTTCCTAGGTCCCAATCAAACATACACACCCTATGCAGCAGACCTCAGGTCACATACTAGAGATATCCAGAGATGCTCTGTTCAGCATCGACACTGGCAGGTCGCTGCATTCTCCATCATTTTTAGTATCTAGCTAGTTTGGAGAGAGAAAGGAAGGGGCAGCCTCATGAAGAACACAGCATATCTCCTATGGACTGATTGCTGCAAAGGCCATTCAACGGAGTACATTCATCACACCCAAAACTTAAGGACACATACCAATTCCACTGTCAAAGGCTTTATGGTCAAGGCCACAGAGCGTTACAGAAAATGGAGTCAAGTGGGAATAAGCAATAGGTTTTGCTTCTGCAGGCTGGGTTGCAAGCATAATGGAGCCTGAATTTCACATAGAATATTACATGTTAACCCAATATTTTTACTATTGGTTCATACCACTTAAGTCTGCAACTTCTTTCTAACTCCCCCCCTACCCCCTCCTAGTTTCTGAATGGACCTCCATCTCACTTGCATGAAAGCATATCTATTTCATCCATGAGGAGCTGAAAAAACAAGTGAGGTACCTTGCCTCATGTCATTCATCCTTCTCCATAAAGGGAGCCTACGTGATTAGCAAAGCAGGTAACTATTCATATCTGACAGAAATTAATCCAGCCTTTAGGTTTCCATCAGCATCTTGTCTCCTGCCTAACACAATTTTCTGGTCTTGAAAATTAGAACTAGGACTTCATTGATTCAGTTCAAACCACACCTACTGAGGTCTGCTTTGATCTCTTGTTTTATTTGTGCACATCACTCCCCTCTTCCTGTTGCAAACACTACTTGTGTTTAACCAGACAGCTCCTGCACATA